ATATTAGCTCCACGATAAGTACGTACATCCATTAGATTAGAGAAGTGCCTGGTTTCTATTAGGATGTGATCTATTTGATTTTTGGTTGTACCATCAGGCGACGTCCATGTTACTTTATGGATATTCTTATGGGGGAAGTAGGTACTTCCAACGACCATGCCCTTGGATGCTGCAAATCCTATTATTCTATTTCCATTGTCGTTGGTGACGTCATGAGCGCTGCATTTTCCGATGTATGGACTATATATATTTTCTTTCCCTATTTTTGCATTAAGATCTCCAATTATGATCTTGATGTCGTTTCTGGGACATCTATCGTAAATGGTCTCTACTTCCTCATAGAATTGATCTTTGACATCCTCTTCTTTGTCTTCGGTTGGGGCATGTACATTTATGAGACTGATGTTAAAAAACTTACCTCTTATTCTTAGGTAACATGTTCTTGGACTTATTGGTTTGAAGTCCATAATAAGATGTTTTACTTTTTTGTTAACAATGAATGCGGTCCCGAATTCGTGATTATTCTTGTGACAGCTGTAATATATATCGCATTGTCTCTTTTGGATAATTCCTTGGCCAGTCCATCTTACTTCTTGCACAGCAGTAATGTGTGCTTTATATTGAGTTAGTATGTCTATTAATTTTTTAAGATTTCCAGGTTCATAAAGTGTCCGCACATTCCACGTGTATATTTTTAAATCTTTGTCCTTATTTCGTTGCATTGGTCGTCGTCGTAAGTTCCGTCCGGTTTCTTTAGCTGTAGATTTCGTAACGATATTTTTTTACGGGGTAGAGTTGTTAGCCCTAAGCCCAACCTCCAACCTGGAGGGCCAGGGACTCTTCTGTTAGGGTTACCATACCTTAGTCCGTTTTGGTTCACGGGTGGTATTTTATTTCCCACCTACCCGCCGGTCCTAGGACCGGTTAGGGCGTTCCCCTATCCACCACCTGGGGACGCGTCCGATGGGAGACAGACAACTCCATACGGAAGACGGAGTACATCCGAACGTAATTTCTCTTTAGGTAGTCTTGCCCTCGAATGCATCCATAGTACAATGCCTACCAACTAAAACCACTCTCGGCTTACGCGTATGGCATGTCTTTCCAGACCGTTCTCCCGTGAGCACAGTCACCCTTTTTCTTCTCTTTTCTTTTTTTCTCTGTTACTTATGATACTTATATTTACCCCTGTTCTCTCTCTCTTTCTTTCTTTCTCTCGCTCTCTCTCTCTCTCTCTCTCTCTCTCTCTCTCTTTCCATCTCCCTGCTTCTCTAAAAGCTCTTTTCTTTTAACAATTTTTGTCATAGCCTCTAGCAGTTCTAACTCATTTTCTTCCTTTCTTAATACGGTCATTAAATTGTGTGCTCCTAAGATACCCACTTTTGCGTATAATACCGCTCTTTCGGCATTAAACTTCGCAGTCCACACAGCTAGCATCTATTGTCTTAACTATCCTCTCAAGTTATGCTCTAAATCAGCCGTACTCAAACTGTGGTACGCGTACATCTTCGCAAAGCACTTAAAGGTGGTACTCTATAAACTAGAAGAAACAAAGAATTTTAATAAAATTTCGTAACAAATGTTAGTAAAGCATTTATGATCTTAGCAAGACTACTGAGATCATAAAAAGTATCAAGCAGAGAAAGCTGGAATATTTCGGATATGAAATGAGAGGTCCCAAATATAGGTTGCTACAAAATATCTTGCAAAGAAAAATAGCAGGCAAGCGCAGTCCAGGACGAAGAAGAACCTCCATGGTTGAAGAACTTGCGAAATTGGTATGGTGTTGATACAAGCATGCTATTTAGAGTGGCAGTGAATAAAATTAAGATGGCTATGATGGTAACCAACGTTCTGAAAGGACATGGTACATGAAGAAGAACAAATGTTATCTTTTACGTTGTGAATCACAACGCTGTGAGTTTGAAACCACAAGCGCGTAATGACTTATTCATGTTGGCAAAACTGGAATCACGGAAAATTGTCACCGCTCTTCACGTCTGTTCACGTCCATTCACGTTATAAGTTTCCTCGTGACCCTCAGCGTTGTGGTTGCTTTTGTCAAAACGAGTAATTTGCTGTTATTGATTCGTGCTATTTTTTGCATATAAAAAATGGATAAGTGACTTGAAAGAGACAACAGAACATCTGAAAATCCCGGTCCATCGAGCTTCACTTCAGAGTCGGAGCCTATACAGGGTGATGACAAAAAGAGTTCTTTCCAAAAAATAAAAGTGGCGGTTAGGAAATATGATTCTGAATACATTTATATTCACGAATATAAATGATGAGCCAAGTCCACAATGTGTAATTTGTTCAGAAATTCTTTCTAACCACTGTATGAAACCTTCGCTACTAAAACGCTACTTCAATACAAAACATTCAGTGTTAGAAAATAACCCTAAGGATTATTTCAGCACAACACAATTAATGTCGGTTTTCTAAAAAGCAGTATAGGCATCCTTCTTCGTGAGTTTAAGACTTGCAAAGTGTGAAAAAGGACATATCATCAGTGAAGAATTAGCTCTGCCTGCCGCACAAGATATGGTAACGTGTGTTTTTGGGGAGAATTCAGGTAAACAGGTAATTCAAGTTCTTATAGTATTATACCATTATCCAATGATACCGTACGCCGTGGGATTGAAATAACAGCATTAAATCATGCTAAAGAAAAGTTTGTAAACCGAATAAAAAATAGTATTTTTTTGCAATACAACTTAATGAGAGCACATATGTAACAAACTATGCTCAGCTTTTGGTTTATACGCGATATATATTTCAAACCAATATCGAAGAAGCGTACTATTTTGTGAGACGTTAACAGAACGAACTATTGCCGATGAAATATTCAAGAAAATCAATGAGTTTTTTTGTGGAACATGGACTAGACTGGAAAACGACAAAATAAATGCTTTTATCAAGAAATGGTATATGATGAAAAATAGTGTTTCAAACAAAGACTTGCAGTCGTTTACCAATTTAAAAAATTTTGTGGTTGAGCATGAAATAAAGATTAAAGATGATCTTATTTTTAACATAAAAAAGCATTGTCAAATGTAAATTGGTAGTTTTAAAGAATATTTTGACAAAGACTATGCTCAGTTTCTTTGGATAGGATAACTATTTGTTTTGGATAGCATTCTTGAAATATTAAAATAGGATGAAAAAGAGTCTTAATAGAACTATCTTGTGATGGGGATTTGAAAATAGAGTTTTCAAAATTAGAATTAACCGAATTCTGGCTAAATATTAAAAATGAATATCCAACCTTATCAAAAAAAGCATTGTTATTTACTTACTTCTTTTTACTTCCACCTACCTGTGAAACTGGATTTTCTGCTATGCTGCAAGTGAAAAATAATTTTCGCAGTAGGCTTAATCTTGATCCAAATTAACGAATGAAACTAAGCTCCTGATATCGATTCACTTGTTGTAGCTATGCAGAACTATCCTTCTCACTGAATTTTTGGACTGGGTTAGACTGTAAGTTTTATTTTGTAACATTTATAATGCCCTTTTTTTTTTTTAAATAAATACATGTTTGCCAGGATTAGTAAATTTTATTATCTACTTTTTTAATATGTGGTGCGTGATTGACGCAGAATTTATATAAGTGGTACGTGTAAAAAAAGTTTGAGAATCGCTGCTCTAAATGACCCGTTAGCCCAGGGAAATAAGCTTTTTTTCGTGACACTCGTCCGGCCAGGCAACCGACAGTTGTTTTGAGTAGTATGGACTTCTAAAACAGGAAACTATTATGTTTCCTGCAGTCGGTTTTTGGACTAAAACAAATTAAGATCAAAAAACGGTAAAATTTTCGCGTTTTTCGTCGTTTCGTTTTTCGTATAATAAACTTATAATTTTTATATTACATACAACGTTGGGTATTGTGGTGATTAAAATAAGATCAATTTGCCCAATTTCAAGTTAATTGGTTGAAGAGTTTTTATTCAACTCTTTCACAACTTGGATCAGAGCTCCTGTCCATATTCCATGCAGCCCTCTTCTCGTTTACCCACTCTTCCTGTCATTTCGTGATGGTTTCTATTCTTTCTTCCGCCTTCTCTTGATTACTCTTACCGTATGCTTTGGCTTTCTTTTTTACCCGCAGGTTTATTGGTGGTACCCCAGCTATAATTTGTAGGGCACCGTCGTGGTCGTTCTATAGGAGCATAAGACCTTTATTAGGGCTTTTCTTTGGGCCTTCTCTAAAATTTTTTGTACTTTTGTTTGTTAGTTACTTTATGCCACACTGGTGCCGTATATAGAATGATAGAATGTACCACTTGTTATGTTTTTGTTATCGTTTATAAAGAAATAAAGGCTTTAGGAAATTTATAAAATAACATAGCGTATTGTCTTTAAATGATTTAGAGCGTTTATCACTCTTAAATATTCCACAACAACACCACTTCGTTGTTACTTTTTGTACAGGTATCTGATTTAATTTTAATTTTTAAGTTAATTGATTTGCTAATTGTGGCACTTTATTTATTTCAATAACTAGACTTTCTTTGGTATGTTTTTTATACCTACCTATATATTTTACTTTATATTAATTATCTAATTATTATTTACATTACCACAGAATAGATAGTAATCAGAATGCCCACTCTCAGATGCCGCCTTTGAAGTGTGTCAGCACGCGATCGCCATATTTTAAACGGAAACATAGACTCGGATTGAGAAATTTGTGTCAAGCTACGACAAAACTGTAATTTAAATTTTTAGAGATTCATAGTTTAGTAGATTTAAAATAATTTATTTTATTCTTCAACTAAAAGTATGAATAAAATAGTGCATATTATATCTATGGTTGCCGTAAATAAATTAAACGGGGTTAATTTTTCTATGCACACAAGATCAAATTTCACTGAACAGCACTGGTTCCGTTATAATAAGACAGGTTCCGAATAAGACAGTTCCTTTTCCTAGTTCTGTGATTCGTATTCATTGTACCAACCAACCATGCTGTGATTCATTCTGTCTTGTCATAATAAGAAACACCTGTCATCACAACAAATTTTCATAATTTACATTTTTTAAATTGTTTGTATATAATTAACATTCTTGGAAAGGTATGAGGAAGGGACTATTTTAGAAAGGAATGTGTTGACTTACCGATTTCTTAATTCGAAGTAAGCTGTAACTTTTTTTAAACAAATATTAATAAGGTAATTGTTTTAATTTCTACATTTTTATACAATACATTATATTTTATTAACTTAAGCCATCTATATTTGACCTATATAATATTTAAAGGAAAGGAAAATGTATGCCATGCAAGTTCCATAATACCATAATGTGATATTGATATTATCTATAAACCAATTAAAGATTGTATTAACTATGATTGGGATTATTTTTAAAAGTTTTATGTAATATAAACTAATGTAGGAATGGGAGAGTTGATAAACCACTATTTTGCAATAGAAACTGCAGGTGTATCTATTAGATAACTTAGAATCTATGATGTGCTTATAATGTTTGTATTTCAGATTTGCCAAATTTATTGTTGCTACTAATTTATGTCCAAAATCAAATTTATTCAAGTATACCATGTTTAAACTATAAAATATAAAAATGCCAGATTCTGTAGAAGAAAGTCTTCACTATATTCTAAAAGGAGTTCCACTAGAAGGAGAAGAGGCAGAAATATGTGATTTTACTTTAGAAGAGCTAAATGAAGCTTTGGAGTCTCAAGGTATTCAGCCTAGTGTTGACCCTAAATTCACACCAATTGTCTTTGAAACCGTCTGCTATATAGTTGTTTGCATTGTTATTAATGAGCAAAATGAAGTTTTAATGATGCAAGAAGCTAAGAAGTCGTGTGCTGGAAAGTGGTGAGTTCAAACTGAATTTTTTACTTCAATAATTAGTAATAAGTCAATAAAGTTAATGCATTGTATGATGTAAGAACTAATGTACACTTCCCGTCATATAAAACTGGTACACTTTTTTTTCCAATGTTAACCTGTGTTCAGACTGGACACAATGGTTCGTGAATCAATTCGTTGTTGCTATCACAGATAAGGGAATTTCAGTAAATTTAAATAAAACGTAAAACGTAAAAAATAATGTTCAAAAATGTATAAAGTTTTTAGATAGGTATTATTTTTATTATTAACAACAAAAAACCGTATCTAATAAATTTAATAACCAGAAAGAGAATTGAGAATTGAGTGGAGTCCAAAATGTTGAACAATATTTAAATTTGGGGTATTGGCACAGGGAACATTGGACTGCATCTACTGTAATTTTATACTTCTGTTAACTGTATGTTATGTCAATAAGTTTAGTAACAAGCAAACTACCTAAAATAATTTATTATTTTATTATTTATTACATGAACGATAAATGTGAAAAACTAACATTAGACTTTATCCTACGTAGATTATAAACTATAAAATATCCTGGGCGAAAAACTCTTTTCAAAATGTGACAGTATGACATTATCCTCTTATAACTGTAAGAAATCCTATTATAACTGAAAAATGTTGGTTTAGTATCTACATATGTTATCACATGTGCGTGTGTTATTACAGTGAGTGAAAACTTCCCGAACATATCCGAACAATTAAACATAAAAAATATTGCTTGCCATTGTCAGATTTGACAAGTTTGTCAAAGTGAATTTTTAAAGATGTCACGTTAGTTAAGACAGTTTGATAAAACGAGAATAATTTCAAAAATAGAAGATGGTTGGTCTATTCGACAACTGGCTCAAGAGTTAAATAAAAGCAAAGCCGCAATCCACAACATTAAAAAAAGATGGGAAAACGAGCAGACTTTGGTTAGAAGGAGAGGGAGTGGGAGACCAGTTATTACTACAGCCCAACAAGATGAAACATTAACTAATTATTTAAGAGCGCATCTCTTCCATACAGCAAGGCAAGCAAAAGTTAATACAAACTTTAATGCTTCTATAACTACAGCATTAAGGAGAATTAGAGGAACAGATTTAAAAAATTGTACAGCCACCTGAAAATACAAATTTAGCGAGGAACATAAACAAAGTAGAGTCGTATTTGCTTTAAATTACATTTTAAATGATCCAGTCAATTTTTGGAACTGTGTAATTTCTACTGATGAAAAAGTATTCCAGTCTCATTATAATGGTGGTATTAGGGTTTATAGACCTCCTCGAAATAGGTTTAACGAAAACTATATTTCATGAAGTGATAAGTCTGGACGGTTCTCTATAAATGTTTGGGCTTAGATGTATATAGGAATGTGTTGGAGAATTGAAGGACGATTCAATACTGAAACCTATTTACATATAAATCCACTAGGAAACTAAGTTCCTGTAGCTGGCTGTATACCATATATCACAAAAAATTTATTTCAAATCCTTTATAAAAGGTATATAATAAAATGCCCAAAAGGGCTATCACAATTACATTACAGAACATTTTCGGATTGTTAAATCCATCATCAGTGTAAACGAGGTATACATGCTATGAGCAACCAAAATATATGGGTCAAAACCCTTTAAATGTTATAAATTTACAGTTCTTTTACATTATATATAGTTACAAATTAGGATGTTTAAGTTACCGTTGGAATTGGTAACATGGCGACATATGACCCTACATAGGTAAAATGGTCCTGAGACGAAGTGTCTTCGAGGACCTGTTGATAACAACTTGTTATCAACAGGACAAATTGTTACACAATAAGTAATACGTAAGTCAGTTTTATGTCTTCACAATTTCAACATCTGATTTTTAGAAATGTTTGAAGTTTTGCCTGTATGCACTTAAAAATAGTGATGAGAATGTTTTGGTTTAATAAGATTCTGTCTAAAAGTCAATCCACTTTTTACAATAGTGGATTATGGGAAATGGTTGCAAATATTTCAAATTTTTTAAAAGAGTTTTCTTGTTTCTAGATAGTATTTTTTCTCTTTTCTTTAATTCTATTGATTCCTATATTATATATATCTTAGATAACATTAAATATTATAGGTACTTACCAGCTGGTCGTATGGAGAAAGGAGAAAATATTATAGAAGCATGTAAGAGGGAAGTCTTAGAAGAAACAGGCCTAAAGATAGAATGTACAACATTATTAGCAGTTGAAACTGTAAAAGGAAATTGGATAAGGTTTGTTTTGACTGGAAAAGTTACAGGAGGTAATTTAAAGACTCCTTCTGAAGCTAACCAAGAATCTATACAAGCCAGGTGGATTAAAAGATTGGATGAGGTTGAGCTACGGGCCAGTGACATTGTCCCTCTAATCGATAGAGCCAAGTGAGTAGATCTAAATTCTCATAATATATATATTTTTTAATATTATTTTTTATACAAAGCAAACTATTTGAGCATACATTTTTTGTATTATTTAAACATTTTGATAAAATATATATTGATGTTTTTGATATAATTTGAAATTTTTATGATAGGCCATTTTTTCAAATAAATGACATGAGTTGCTGACATTTAACACTTAAAAATGAACCCCGTAGAATTCAATCTAAATTAGCTTAATGCCACACTAAAATATTTAGGAAACTTGTCTTTACATTATTATATTATTACATTAATAGTTGCTTCTAGAAGTGTGTAATAAAACTGCATAAATTATAATAAATTATTTATTAGTTAACGAATTATATTCAAATATTATAACACTCTTGGTTAGCATTACTTCATGATGGGATATATGGTGAGTCATCAATGACATTGAATAATAATATAAAACAAAAAATTCCAGTATAATGAGATAAACAAAGAAAATGTTTTTTGTACCCCTTTAAATCGAATGAACTCCAGTACATTTTTGACAGCTCACAAAAGGATACCTAAAAACACTATTCTATCAGTAGATCATGAATAGAGACATGTACCGGGTGGCCCAATAAGCCGATCTCTCGGCTATATATCAGAAACTATTCATGCTATAACTTTAGGAAAAAAATTTCTTAGTAAAAGTGGCCAAGAGAAATCTCTGGAAGTAACTTTCAAGTTTCTGCGTTAACCGCCAGGGCGTGTAACCTGTGAAGAAAACTTTGAAAGCCAGTTTTTTTGGGAAATATGCACAATGTTACCAAGTGTTAAATAAGTATACTAGAAACAGGCCTAAATTCTGCACAAAGTTGTTTTTTTTTCAAGTTGTTGTTTAAAATCGGTCGTGTTCGCGCATGCCGCCATTGGAGAGTAGAATTTGAATTATTGTTAAAGTTAAATGGGATTTGTATGCATTCTGTGATAAAATTACTAGACGAAAATAAGTTACTGGTTTAATAATTACAATAATCGTACACATAAGGATATCTCCAAACTATTAAAGATTATTTATTGATACATACAAAAAACTGACATTTCGAACGTACAACTCTGCAATAACGTCACGACTTATGCGCAATATCTTATCTTCTTCACAGTCATATTTTCATGGATCAACCGATTTTAACGAAATTAGTGTCATTACAAAGTGTATGGATGAATTAATTTACATCTACTATAAAATAATTGCATTTAGTTTTAATTGTCATAGGTAGAGGGTACTTTCGAATAGAGAAAATTAAAATTTGTTTTTCTTCAAAATGTTTAATGGATACACCTATTTATTGTAAATTATAATGAAATTGGATTAAATTCGTAACAAAATGGCGCAAACCGCATGTTAATAGCTTTTATCAAACTCGAGATATGAATAAAAACGCATATATAAGTAAGTATAGTATTGACTCACCCTGTATTATAAATTAAATTAAAAAATAAGTCAGTGGGTACTTTCAAATTTTTTTTGTAGCTGAAGAATCTAAATGTTGATAACTATTTTGACCATTGTTATCTCATATGATTAAAAATAGTTTTTTCGAAACTAAGTAGGCTACGACAATGAATTTGACGGGGAGTTTATATTGTTTATTTATTGACAGCAGTCAAAACATTGTTAAGAAGTATTATATTATAATTCTAATTGAAGATTGCACTTTTTCGATGATATTCATATTGGTAATATTAGTAATTAATTATCAGTACTGATAATTCGTGATGAGTATATCAAATGCAGAATAGTATGATATGATTGGAGTTTATTTCGAATGTCACCAAAATGCCGCTATTGCCTCACGTATATATTCTGTAAGAGAAACTGGTAGTTTTCACCGTCCTTATTTTAAACGACGTAGTAGAGGTATGACAGAAGATAATGCAATCAATGTTCTTGCTTTAATTCAACAGAATCCACATATAAGTAGTCGGCAAATCTCTATAGAATTAAACATACCCAAAACCACTGTTCTAAGGATTTTAAAACATCACAGGTTAGTTTTTCATTTTTCATATTATAAAGTGAACGTTTAGGTCAGAAACTTGGAATTCCCTTTAAACTTTAGATTCAACTGTTATTTTAATATTTCGATAAAAAACGGCAACACGGCGTTTTTATTCTTTTATTCGTTTTCTCAAAAATACTTATGCACGATTTATCTTGTGAAACAATTGTGGATTTTTCAAGATTTTTTGAGTTTTAGTAAATATAGTGGTTTCTTTTTCACCAATATTTATTGTTCTGTTTTTTAGACTGCATCCTTATGTAGTTCTCCACCAAGCTTTACATAAGAGAGATTTTGATGCAAGGCTGGATTACTGCAATTGGCTAGAAGAACAACCGCATATCATGTCAAATATTTTGTGGACAGACGAGGCTATGTTTAATAGTGCGGGTGGTGTTAATCTAATCATGAGGTGTAGGTTCAAGGTAGATGTAGTCTTAATGTTTGGTGTGGTATAGTTGATGGAAAGATCGTAGGTTCAAATTTCTTTGATAGAACTTTAAATGGCGAAACATATTTAGATTTTCTGGAAAATCTATTGCCTGTTTTATTGGAAGATATTTCCTTACAAACAAGAAGAGATATGATATTACAACATGCCGGGTGCCCTGCGTACTTTTCCAGACGAGTTCGAGATTGTTTGTATGCAAGTTATCCAAATAAATGGATCAGAAGGGAAAGTATATTTTCATGGCCAGCTAGATCTCCAGACTTAACATGTCTGGACTTTTATCTGGGGGGAAGATTGAAGGACTTAGTCTACCAAACTCGACCAACCACGCTAGACGACATGAAACAGCGCATTAAAAATAGTATATCAACAGCTGAGATTGAAGCAGCTGTTATGTCTACGCGCAAAAGATACATTTTTTGTTTGGATAACGATGGAAACCAATTTGAACATTTAGTTGGACATTAAGTTTTAATGATCGAGATCTTTGTATGATCTTTTACACATTTAGTTTTAAGTCATAATAAAGGGTGAGTCAATACTATACTTGCTTATGTTTATGCGTTTTTATTCATATCTCGAGTTCGACAAAAGCTATAAACATGCGGTTTGCGCCATTTTGTTACGAAATTAATCCAATTCCATTATAATTTACAATAAATAAGGTGTTTCCATTAAACATTTTGAATAAAAGCAAATTTTAATTCTTTCTATTCGAAAGTACCCTATACCTACGACAATTAAAACTAAATGCAATTGTTTTATAGTAGATGTAAATTAAATCATCCAAACTCTTTCTAATGACACTAATTTCGTTAAAATCGGTTGATTCAAACCAAAGTTATAAGTATTTATCCACAAATACTTTCCCACTCTCCTCCACCCTTTATTTGAAAAAATAAAAAAAAGTACTTGAGCAACTTTGTTCGGAATTTAGGCCTCTTTCTAGTTTACTTATTTAACACTTGGTATAATTGGGCATATTTCACAAAAAACTGGTTTTCAAATTTTTCGCCACAGGTTACACCTCCTAGCGGTTAACCCAGAAACTTGAAAGTTAATTTCAGCGATTTCTCCTGGCCACTTTTATTAAAGACTTTTTTCTCCTAAAGTTATAAAACATGAATAGTTTCTGATATATAGCCGAGAGATCGGCTTATTGGACCACCCGGTACATTGCTATTTATAGTATAAATTTTAAGCCACTTTTAAATTGTAAAATTGTTTGTTATTTTTTCTTATTTGTTTACATTATCAAATTGATATTTATTGTAAAATTTTTGTAAGCTAAATTTTGAAATATAATTTACATCAAAGATGTTTTGTGATATTCAAGAACTCTGTCGAATTCCTCGATAACTGGTTGTGTCAGTTTATTTATTTAAAGAAAACAACAAAAGTGATTGCTTTTTGCATAAAATATTATACCTATATGTGCTTCCTGCAAATATCCCTTAATTATTCCTTGGTTTGTTGGAAACTCTTTAATTACTGTTTTTTTATTTTACAATAAATATATAATATTCAGGTACCAACTGAACATTTTAAAACTATATACTTACTTAGCTTTTAAAATAAAAATTTGTATTTCAATATCTTCTCTTTTGTAATCAGTGATATTTTCTAATTGTTCCGTCCAGCAGGACAAACCGATATCCAATCTACTTACAGCAATGATACCTGCTGCCAATTTTGATGGTTTGTAACATTGCATATAGTGAACATCTACAAACATATTGTGTAATTAGTGGAGTGGTGGTCTAATAATTCAAATAATAACAGAGTGTTGGGATAATTTACAACAGTTATCTTTTACTATAGAATTGAATAAAACTCTGCTGTTTTTTAAGAAAGTTATTGAAATTTGACTATTTGGATAAGTTGAATATTAAATAACTTGCAATACTGACACATGAGTAGTATATCATATTTAAAGAAAAAGTTTTAAAATAAAAAAAACTTTTCACAACAAAAAATCTTTTTATGTAGATAAACATGCAAACATCATGGCAAAACGATTTCCATATATTCCGGTTTTTTAAGCATATAGGTATGCTGATTTGTGAAAGTGTTGGATTCGGCCGTTACTTGATGGAAATTCATTTTATATAACAATGAAATACTGAACAAAACCACCAACAATACCGAAAAAACTGTCATTGCAAAATCTATTAATAGAAAACAACATAGTATTTACAAAAGCAGACAAAGGTAACACTACTATTGCTATAGATCAAATAGAATATAATAACAAAACAATAGAATTTTTAAATAATCTAAATGTTGAAACGATAAACAAAGATCGGGCGGAAAAGTATCAAAATCAAATTAAACTGGCGTTAGAAAATTTAAAATCACTAGTAAAATCAATAGAACAGAAATACCTCAATATCATGAACCCACAGCCTAGTAAATTATACTCTTTTATTAAACTACACAAACCTGAACACCCAATAAGACCTAATTCCTTTTTATACAGCTCTGTCATATAATCTTTTAAAAAACCGTTATATTAT